AAAAAAAAAAAAAAAAAAAAAGTTCAGTTATATACAAGATTTACAGATACATGTCTGGAATGTAACCGATTTTTAAAGCGAGGGCTGACCAAATTAATATTTGGAATATAATAACTATATTCTTATTGTTGGCATAAACTGGTATAATAATACCAGGTACCATTTCCAAATTATTCCCTCTTCCTCTTGAAAGACTTCCTTAAGATTTTAAAGCAGCAGATCTCTCCTACCCAAGCACGTCTCTACCTATCCTTTCCTTTTCAGTCTACTGACCTGCATGCAGCAAGGGATTGCTGCTGGGGGAGGAGGCAGGGATGGGGCCAGCAGGATAGCAATTACCCAGTATGCTGAGAATTAACTGCAACACAGACACAAGGCTGTCAGCCTGGGCTGGTGTGGCAATTAGAGTCCAGTATAAACTTGACTGGCTTTGGGATCAAGCAGGGGATTAACGGAGCAAGCTTTGTTCCCCTGCTCTGCTTTCCAACCACGTCATGGACTTCCTCCATGTTTCTGCCTTGGAGCTGGCCATCCATGTACTGAACCTCATAAAACTGTGAGCCAAATTAAACCTCTCCTCTTTTAAACTGTGAGTGTTGGATACCGTGAACAAGCAACAGGAAAGCTAACAGTACTGCTGTTCAGGGCACCTTCATGCACACTGCCTTTGCTAGTGTAACACTATGCAGCCACATGTAACACTATTTAGCCACATAGACTAAAAGCTCCTTGACATCAGAGCCATGACAAATCATAGAAACCATCCAGAAAGGCCTATGGCTATCACTAGGACATACTAAACACTAAATGTAAAAGCATAAACACATGATACACACAGTACAGTACCACCATGAAATGTGGACTCTTGGAGGGCATTTTGGCTCATGCCATTTGCCAGCTAAAAAAGTGACTCTTGCACACCAGTATCAAGGTTCAAGTTAATGCAGCATCAAAATAACACATGTATTATGGCTTCCAGGGCTGCTGAAAATAAGCCAAAATATTGAATGGTAAGTGCATATCCAGCAAGCCCATTCTGTTTTTTTTTAACCAATTTTTTTTTAAATGAGCCTTGCCAGTCTACAGCAAATCCTGGTATACAAGAATCCACCCAGTGAATATCTGCATTACCTTCCTGGTTATATGCAATGCACATAAAGAATGTCAAATGAAAAAACCAGGTATAAATGTGGCTGAGGTTAGTGACTATGAGGGATGTACCGAAGCCAAGAAAACAACCACTAACCTTGAATTTCTCTTTGCAGACACCTGGACACTTCACTCAATTCCAAATCTTTATTCTGGTAACTGCAAATACACTAGCCCTCATACTACACTTGATCTTAGCCAAAAAGTCAAGAAGTGACTACACTAGTCCTCATACGTTCATTTACCAAAATTACTGTGGGGAATATTCACAGGTGCTACAAAAACAAAAGCTAACATGGTAAAACAAACAAACAAAAAACCTAAATCTGATTATTTTGTTGTGGTTTTTGTTGGACCTTATCTGAAAATTAGGGTTTTTTTCAGAAACTACACTTTGAAAGCACTCAATATATTAAGCAAACACTAGATGTTGACGTATCTCTCTGGAAAATAAACTTAAAACCTGAACACCCCCCCACTTTAGCAGGGCACTCCTCTTCTGTAATCCACAGTAGAAGTGTTGCCCCAACTCCGCTGAGGAGTGTAAAATAAAATAGCCAGAAATGTAATCTGCAAATACCAGTGGATCAGTGGCTATTACATTCCTTGATGATGCACATGAACTGTATGAGGAATCCAACTACAGACACATTCTTCCTGAATTTATTCCACCTATAAAGAAAAAACCACACAAACACCCCTCCCCTAACCCCAACACACATCAGAACTGCAGAGAAGCATCAACATTCCCCAGGCACTTGTTAGAAATGCACAAAGAATTAGGACAGTAACAAACCTTTTAGAACCTTCATGATACAAAAAGCCAACTGCAGCACGCATGCCACAGATTCACCACTACTGGACTAGCACTAGCACTTGCCTGGCACTCACCCTGCAAGCACATATAAAGAAACTGCTGTTTGTTCAGTGCCTTTCATTCAAGTACCTGCTAGTACTTCCTGGCCAGAATTTTTATGTTTCTTTCTTTGGAAAATGGTATCTTTTGGTGTCACCCATCCTGGACTCAAGGGATCCTACTGCCTATCTCAGCCTCCTGAATATCTGGAAGTATCAGTACTACTACACTTGGCATATATTCTCTTTTTAAGCAAAAAGGCAAAAGGATTCTGTTATTAAATCCATATCCTTTTGTTAACTTAAAAGGTAGAAAGGAAAAATGGAAAGGAGAGAGGTAAGGGAGAGAAGGAAGCAGGCAGGTAGGTGAGTTACATATACAACTCACCCCTTTCCCCCCCTCATTATTATGATTGTACAAGAGACCCAGCCCCTGTGCATCTCCTGTTGCCTAGCAACGCTCGCTCAGGCGCACTCCTCCTCCAAAGTACTTTCAAGAAACTGAACACTAGCACAAAACAAGGTAAAGCAATAAAAGAAAGGTCTGTAGTATGTGCTACATCTCAGCAGATAGTTTAAATGCACTAAGAAAACCTCAGTGTGAGGTATAATTCCATACAGATCTTATCACATGTCTCAATTGTACATGACCAGGAGATTCACAAGACTACAGCAATGTTCTGTCCACAGAGGACATCTGTAGATATTATTTTATGTATTCCCATAATAAATGGATGGGAGAAAGGATACCTGAATTCAGTGCCCAATGAAGCTGAAACACACCAACTAAGTACTTGCTCAAGGCCACAGCAGAGGGAAGAATAGAATCTTCTCCGTTGGACTTTTCTCAATGTGCCAAGTAGACTCCTACCTTCCCTAATACCTACTTCTAGGAAACCCACCAATGTGAATATATTCCTCCTTCATACTACATATTATGGACATAAAATTGACAGCATTATGACTCAAGGAAACTTCAGAAAATCTATAAACTATTCTCAGAGAATTTCTACAAAGGTAAGTTATTAATAGAGAATCACACCTTTCACATGTTTGAAGAATCTACTGTACCCTGTAGGGGGAAAAATGCCAGCACAGAAAACTGTGATCATTAGTTGCAATAGAAAAAACAATTAAGAAATATACCCCGCCCCTGGGGTGCACTGAGATGGCAAATGAGACTGGGTGTGGTGGCGCGCGCCTATAATTCCAGCTCCTGGGAGGCTGTAAACATGCGGATCACTACAAGTCCAATCTAGTTGTGAGACCCTGAACACCCTACAGACCCTCCTCTAAAATACAAAAAATAAAAATAAAGAAGAAATATACTTTGGCCAAGGATATAGCTCAGTGGCACAGTACCTGCCTGGCAAGCATGAGGTCCCGAGTTTAATTTCAGGTATCAAAAAGAAAAAGAAAGAAATATACTTCGTTTATCTGCAACTTATACAGTTACAGAGGAAGAACTGAGTATATAGAAAACACCATTCACTGAACTATTTTAAAGGCAAAGCAAATGCTCAAACTGACAAGACAAGGCTCCCTATAATCAAGAGCTCAAAAGCCTGTTATTAGCACAGGCTACTTCTGTTCTGATTACTTTCTACCAAAACCTGGGATAACTATACCCTATCTGTTATAGTACTAGTATATACCTAAAGATACCTGGCACACAGAGATCTAATGGTAAAATTATGGTAATTCCTAATGTTAATCATCTGAGCCAATCAAAGACACTTTCCACATGCTTCATGAACAAACTTACCCGCCTCTCCAGTGCTGCTGACTGTGGGCAGACATCTTATAAGGAAGTGCTCGCTCACCCAAGTTTTCCAAGTTTCGTACTATGGCTCCTTTATCCATCAAGGCTTCTACTGTACGTTTCAAAGCAGCAGCAGTCTCTCGCTGTTTTTTTTTTGTTTTTGTTTTAAAAGAGGAAAAAACAAAACAAAACATGAGAGTCAATATGAGAGCCAGAATGATTTAAGTCTAGTTAGTTCCAACCCTAATAATTCTACTGGAAGGAATCTCTGGGTAAAAGCACCAGAAAAGTTTTGATTCAAAAGAGATGCTTTTATAGTAAAGATACAAGATATCTCACAGGTGTGAAGGAAAATCTGAAGAACTGGGCTTCGAAGAGTTCAGAAGTCAGAGCAGCTCCGGGGATCTGGGAGGCAGGAACTAATGAGTGGCTTCTTCAGAGCACCTCAGCAGGGCTCAACCAGTGGCAATCACTGTCAGTTCTTGTAGCGCACGACTCAAAAGTTCAAATTCCAGAAGAGAGTCCTGTTGGTAAGCCACCTTAGTTTACCATTCCACCAAAACCATAGCCAATGGCAAAAGGCAAAAGGAGTTGTTTCAAAGGAAAAACTGAAAGTAACTGAAAGGGGAAGAATAAAACCCAATTTCCACCTCCCTGGAGCTTACAACACACACACACACACACACATTTTTATATGTAAAGCCCCAAAGGTAGAGAACCAAAAAGCTTATGGAACAAACACACTCAGCACCAGAAAAGTTTTGAATTAAAAGAGATGCTTTTATAGTAAGAGATGTTCTTTATAGTAATCTAAGAGTTTCATTAAGGAACACTACCTGACAGCAGCCCTGTAAAGACTAGAGATACAATGAACCAATGAACCAGGAAAGTAAAGGAGTAAAGGCAGAGTGGACTAAGAGCTGAGAGTCCCAGAGGCTGAGGTCAAGGAGAACAAAGAATAAAGTCAGTGGGCCATGCACAAGAATGTAAGTAATAAAGGTCTGTTATAAAAACTATAGTTCAGACAACTACAAGTCTCATTGTCCAGATATAAAAACTTAACATATCTCCATGCATACACATACAAAAAATGTTGGAAGAAATACAAAGATAAACTTGAAAAATCCAACTAGTGCCATGTGAAAAGTAAAGGTGAGAAGTGAGAAAAGGAGTCATCCAAATCTGGTGGTTGAAGAACAGTGCTGTCATTAGCAGCTAAGAAAATCTGGAGAGCTGTCAAGGGACAAGAGAAAAGAACTGGGGTCAGGTCATGCTGAGTCTGAGACACTATGCTTCCTCAGCTGACCTCTCAAGATATATAAGCATTAAAGTTAGAATACAGGTGGGTTATAATACATATGTGTTTTGCAGTCATCCACACAGAAGCTAATGGAGGCCTGAAGAGGTAAGCTCATCACAGCAGGAAAGAGAGTGTGGAAAGGAAACCAACAACGAAACTGTAGAGAATATAGACATTTGGTGGCTGACAAGAGGACTTGAAGTCAGAGAGACAAATTTAAAGGTCAGAGTCAAGTAGGACAAGGAAAATCAGGAGCCTGTTTTGTTGCAGGAAAGTAAAGAAAGGCAGACTCCAGAAAAAAAAGACAGAATGGAGATAAAGATCTGCAGGTAGTGACAATACAGAAACTTAGTAAGATGGGGCCAGAAAGCAGGTGGCAAGATTTTCCAGGAAAGAGATACCACAACAAAGAATACCAGAACTCATGGGGCTAGCACATCTGAGCAACAGGAGACTCAGTGAAAAGGAGAGGAAACATAAGCAAATCAGGAGTCAAAGAATGAACTTTGTCAAGTGGTTAAAATGTAGAATTTTTAAAAGGGGATACAGATGAATGTTCATTTTGTATCTGTGTATTCAAAATTGTTAGAATATATAGTTACATTCTCTTTATGAATAGAGGGATTTGTTCTAATAGTGTGTGTAAATAGGATATCATGTCCACATCTTGCACAGCAATTAACCACTAGGAAGAATGTATGCAGTGTGTTAATTATTGAGACTGTCCTATCAATTTGGTTCAAAACTGTCTCATCGCTATTTGTTTCTCAAAAATATGGGGGAAAAAATGTAGAATTTTTTCAGCAACAGTGATGATAGCTACCACGTATGTCTGACTGGTATAGACCAGATACTGATCTAGTGTTTTACTGTTACCTATTGATCTTTACTAAATAAAATTTATAGATTTGAAATTGGGCCTGTAAGAAATGCCAAACAGAACAGGTAAGTGCAAAAGCCTGCTACAGAAAAAGGAGAACTGCCAAACCACAACCAGAAGAGGATAGAGGCACAGCAGAGATGAATTCAACCAATAAAAAAGGGAAGGAACAAAAGGAAAATGCAAGATTTTGAAGTGCAGGAAGGGACTTAACAAAAGGCTACCTTTCTGTCATTCATTTTGTGTCCGAAAGTGTGGAACAAGTATACATGTATATTCTGCTACCACAGAAAATCAACTACCTAAACTTTCTTTCTGACAAATATTGTTTAGATAATATGAATACACAAGATATTAAAACTTAGAAAGAAATTTTTTCATTTTAATTTCATATTGCAGGCCACCATTGACTTAAAAAATCCTGATGGAAATATTTATTTAATTTTAATCAATCTTATGATAAAAGTTTTCCAGCAAACGAAATCAAAGTCAAAATCACTTCCCACTAATGTTAGCTACATAAGAAGGCTATGGCAATCTCTGTGTGACAGCACTGAGTAAATATGGCTCTAACCACATGAACACTGAAATTCTCACTTTTCATTAATTCACAAAGATATTTCCTTACTCTGCAGAAGCCTTGTTATTAACAGCAGGATATTTCATTTCAGTAAAGATGCTAGTTCTTGCCCTGGCATTGCATCTATTAACTTAAAATACACTGGATGAACTGCACATCCAAATGAAGTCTAGGCCTAAGAAAAATGAAAAACTTTGGCTGATTACAGCCTTCTGATTAGTTATCAAACTCTTTAATTTTAATTTCAGTTTTGCTTGATTAAAAAGGAATACATCTCAGTATCCTTTTTGTCTGGTTCAAATTCCAACTTAAGTGTTTACAATGCAAAATGGAGTACCTTCTTCTGAAGTAAGAGCCTATGAAATAAAGACTTTTCCTCTGACATTTGTTCAAAAAAGACAGGGTGTCTCAAAAGAATGTAACTTATGAAAATATCAAAACATATTCACTTCGGTAAGTCAGGGTCAAATTGTAGACTGCTTGAATGGTCATACTCTTATCACTGTAGTTTCAAATTACCAACATTTTACAACTGAAGGAATACTGTAGGAGCTTATTAGGGTTGTTCAACATGTCCCATGTACCTTACTTTGCAAAAACAGGATCATGGGCCAGATACACTGCATCACCTATCTGTGCAAATTAAATTTGTGTTTTACTGAAACACAGACAACATATACATTTGCATAGTGTCTATGACTGTTTCTGTGCTTACAAGCAGACCAATAACAAGAGACTATATGACCTCAAAGCCTCAGTTATGTATCATCTGGCCAACCTCTGCTCTACCTTGTGATAGGCTGAAGAAACTGACAGGCCTCAAACCACTAATCAGAAAATGAAACAAAAATAAAATCATAACCTGAACACTTAAGATACAAATGTTAATTCTCTAAATGATGGATCATCAGGGAGACACATAGGGCATCACCTAATAAACACTATCAGCCTGAACTTATCATAGATCTAGAACTGCTTCTACAACTCACCATTCCATCCACATGCTCTTCCTAGACTAATCAGACCAGGTTGTCAACTTCTTTGATGAAACCTACAGATGTATTAAAATAAAAAAATTTAGGCTGGTGGTGTTAGGGGGAATTTTTGCTTAATTAGCACTGTGTTCAATTTGTATAAGTGCATGGTTTACAGAAAGCAAATGATCTTGCTACATAAATCTCACTTGCAAGTTCTGGGGACCATTTAATTCCATCTATTCTAAGAAGTTGTGGGTTTCTTTTAGGGGCATCTCTCACCCATCTGAAAGCAGCTCCTAAGTTGCTTGATGTCAACTCCAACCTATCACAAGGTCAATGAAACAATTTTGGCAAGGCATGGTGGGAAGCTGAACACATTGATGTGAAGAAAAAAAAAATGGAGAAAATAAAAAACATGGATGCATCTGAACTCAAATTAGAAAAACAAAATTCTAGTCAGATCTTACTCACTAATGAGTTTTATAGCCTGGGAAGAACAGCCAAAATTTACTAATTTTGTAGTCATGTCTTAGTTTTTCCTGATAAATTAGTGGTTCTCAATTTTTGTATTCTCACAAGACTCACATGAACATTCCTACTGCAGGTCTCATTTTAGTCCTAATCATACTTGTGGCAATCAGTATTCTTTTACTCACAGAAGAACAAAATTCTGTCATCTGCAAGATGGATAGATCTGAAGGCCATCATGTTAAGTGAAATGAATTACTCATACCATATTGTAAACTGCCTGTTCGCAACAATATGTAGAGTCTAAAAATGGCCCCAAGAACTAGCACAAAGTATTAAGACAAGAGGAAGGAAAATAAGAGGGAGGGGAAGGAGATACAACAATGGATAAACAGGGGGTATAGATATGAGCAAAATATAAACACTGAACCCCTTCGGCAAAACGTGAAACTAGAGAGGCAGGGTGTGGAGTGATGAAAACTACCAAAATATGATGTGCATGTACAAAATATGTTATACCCACATACAAATCTGCCAAAATGAAACCCATTAATCCACATGACCAATAAAAAAGGTTAAAAAAAGGAAAACACTACCCCCCAGTTAAGCTGATTTTTAAAATGTAATTAGTCCTGGAGAGCCTCAATTTTTTATCTTTTCATTAACTATTAGAATGACTAGGGGCTGGAGAGAGAACTCAGTGGTCTAAGTGCCTGCCTGGCAAGTGTAAGGACCCGGGCTCGATCCCTGGCACTGCATGCCATGCCGATCCCAGAACTAGGCATGCTGGCACACACCTGTAATCTCAGCAATGGAGAGGCCAAGAGAGGAGGATCACTACAAGTCCAAGCTGTGTAGTGAGACCCTGTACAAAATAAATAAAGGATTTTTTTTTTTTTTTAATGACTAGTGTTTGGGCTGGCGAGATAGCTCAGTGG